GGGTGACACTGGCACCTCACACCTCCCGGCTTGGGCTCTGTGTAGTTTACATTCTCTCTCCATGTTTACCCAGATACTCCCCAGTTTCCTCACAGTCCCAAAACATGAGGTTTAAATATCCCATCGCATGTGACTGTGTGTTTGTTCTGTGATGGACCAGCATCCTGCCCAGGGTGTCCCCTGCCTTGTGCCCTGTGCTTCCTATCACAGGTGCCAGACTCCCCACAAGGGATGGATGATTTTTTTTGCACGTTGATACCACTTTATGAAATAAATGGCTTGTACATGTACTGCGTAGATGTCTACTTACTTTTCTTTTTTATCCAACCCTGTAATTAAAAATAGATACAATATGTTGGAGCTCAAAATACTAAGACCTCAATAGGATTTTGTAGTTTATTGTAGCTGCCAGGTTATAAGTAATTAATAATGATAACGTGTAAGCATCATAGCATCAGCATCATAAAGGAAAACCAGGAAACCCAAATGAATTAAAGCAGCATTGTTATGAAATGTTACATCCTGAACCTTATCGCATAGTGAATAAATAACAATGTGGTTATAAATGTAATATTCATCCAGCTTTAGTGCTGAGCAGAAAGCTGCTAACATGCTGGAAAATTCCCAGTACACATATTCAACCTTTATGGTAAGTTATACATCATATACCTGTTATACTTACAGTATGCAGACATCTGTATAACAAACCAGCAGAAGAGGAAGACAGACCCAGAAATCAGGACAATCAGCTGCAGATCCAATGGCTGTTTTCCTGTGTCTGAAATGACATGAGCACAAAAATCACTGAGGACTGAGGTCAATAAATGAGCAGTAAGTGACATATTAAACCACAGGAATACATATATGTCCTAAACAGTTTGTACAATTTAGTTGTGTGGTTAAGTTTACATGCTAAAAGTAAAATTGCAGGAGAAACATCTCAAATCTATAGTATATTTACCTGCTTTGAGTTTTAATGCTACAGCCAGGGCAACAGAATTCAGGAGGGGGAGAAAAAAAGCCCCTGAGAAATATACATATTTACGGGGTTTGGCTGAAAGATACAGAGAAAAGCATTAGTCATACAGCTACATACAGGGCTGTAATGAAGTACATTTTTGCTCATCCATAGCAATTAAATGTGTTGCATAACCAAACAAATTTAGTATAATACAAAGAACATTCTAAGTGCACAACAAGGCTTTTAAATGATTATTTGATTCACTGAAGGAAAGGGAAAAACAATAAAAATTAAAAAAACAAACAAATATTCACCAACACCCATATCACCCATGTGACAAAGTAATTTCCCCCCTTTTGCATCGCTGTGCAGAATTTTTCACCCACTCTTCTCTGTAGAATTGTTTTAATTCAGCCTCATTGGAGGGTTTTTTAAATCTAAACTGCCCATTTAAGGTCATGAGGTTAAACTTGACCACTTTGACTAGGCCACTGTCACTACCGAAAATGTTACACCTACCGAAAATGTAACTTCCGCTACTACGCATGCGCACATTCATCACGCAAGCATCCACGAAATTTCCGGCACTTCTTTATTACGCATGCATAATGTACACTTCCACAGGCCCAATACTGCGCATGTATTCACATTTTG